ATCAATTTGGGAAATGCAGAAGAGTAGCAGGAAAATTGTCTTCCCTCCCGAAGACGATGATAGGTCTAATCCTGATCTTCCCTTATTGATATCTTGTTTTTTTTTTTTATTCTAATCTTTTCTGTGTGGATTTTGTCTTCTATATACTTAATGATACTCTTCAATGTTATTTTTATGTTATTTGAAATGCAAGTTTACAAACATGATTTTCAGTTGTTGTATCAGTTCTATCTGTAAATGTACTAAAATGGCTTTGGCCGTTTTAAAATATCTTCATGCTTACTGGCTCCACCCCTGAGTCCGAAAGAACTGGTAGTTGGAGAATGAGTTCTGCTCGGCCTCCTATGGCTGAGTACAGGGTTTGAGTGGAAAGAACTGACCCTGGTTCTTCACATTCCCAGGTGGGAGGAGAAGATCCCTCTGGCAAAAACCACCCTGGAGAAGACCTGGTTGTTCCACGAGATCGGCCGCTGCTACTTGGAGCTGGACCAGGCCTGGCAAGCCCAGCATTACGGTGAGAAGTCCCAACAGTGTGCTGAGGAAGAAGGGGACATCGAGTGGCAGCTGAATGCGAGCGTTCTGGTGGCTCAGGCACAAGGTATGGGCACGGAGAGAGGACCACCCGAGCTACCAGGCCAGGGCTGGGGACCCTTAGCATCCCAGTGTGTCCCTGGCCAGATGAATGTGGACTCAGAGTGGAGGACAAAGCCCTCCATTTTGACCAGCGTGTGGTAAGTGCCTTCTTTAAGCTAAGCTCAGTGAGAGCGTGGGGCACCCCCGAAGCTCCCACTGAGGAGCTCAGCTGCAGATCAGCCCAGCATCGTGTCATCATCAAAACAGCGCCACTTCCTCTGGCCTTGGTGCCCTTTGAGTGTGCATTCTTGCACTTAATCAACGTGTGAGCCAATGACGAAGGCATTGTCCTCTTTTCACAGATGGGGAAACCGAGGCACTGCCTGGTTAAGCTGACTGCCCCAGGTCCCATGAGGGACGTTTTCAGAGTGATGGAGATGTTCTTTTTCCCTGCAGAGCAGGGAGCCCGATGTGGGGTTCAATCCCAGGACCCTGGGATCATGACCTGAGCCGGAGGCAGACGTTTAACCGATTGAGCCACCCAGGTGCTTGATGGAGATGTTCTAAAACTGCGTTGTGGAGATCACTGTACAATTCCATAAAGTTACTGAAAGTCATTGAACTGTATACCCACAAATGGTGCATTTTATAATATCTAAATTACACCTCAATAAAGTTGTAAAAAATAACCCAGCAAGGGGTATGGGTGAGCAAGAATAGATGAAACAGGGTTGGTGGTATTTTGATAATTGTTGAAGCTGGGTGATGAGTCATAGGGGCTCACTATACTCCATCTATGTTTGTGTATATTTGAAATATTTCATAATACAAAGTTAGAAAGGAAATGGCTGGAGGTCACAGGTTAGTAAGCAATGAGGCTGGGACTAGAGCCCTGTCCCCTGCCCCCTGCGGGCACAGCAGACCCCCAGTGAGGGAGGCGATGTGGCAGGGGCTGTGGTCAAGGGCATCATCATTTTTTAAAAAAGATTTTATTTATTTATTTGACAGAGAGAGAGAATATACAAGCAGGGGGAGTAGCAGAGGGAGAGGGAGAAGCAGGCTTTCCAGTGGGGCAGGGAGCCTGACATGGGACTCAATCCCAGGGCCCTGGGATCATGATCTGAGCTGAAGGCAGACGCTCAATGGACTGAGCCACCCAGGTGTCCCAAGGGCATCATCATTCATTATTCTTAACACAAATACTTTCTTGGCACCTTCGAGGCACCAAGCGGGGTATACAGCAGGGATAACCACTGATAACCATGTCCTGCCTTCATGTCTGAGGAAGTCACTTTGAAGCAGAAACCTTAAGGATGAGAGGGCACCAACTATTCTAAAAGCTGAGGACAGGACTTTCCAGCCAACGGAACAGCATGTAGAAGGTGGGGAGGAGTTTGGCGGATTTAAGAAGCTAAAGGAGACCTGTGTCAGCGGGGCCCCTGGGGGCCCAGGAGGTCTGGATGGGGGAGGGTGATGAGGGGCCAGATCCGCAGGGCCTCATGGGCCTCATTACAAATCAGAGATTCTCCCTTCAAAGCACAGGTAGAGACAACCACTGGAAGCTTTAAACTGGGGGAAGGCGTGAGTACTGGAGCTTTTCCTAGAACTCTTTCCTGTTCTCAGGAGGGCATAGCATAAGCTGAAGGGAAAATGCAATATACCCCTCCGGGTCGATGTTGTCCTCAGTCTACTCCTTTTTTTTTTTATAGATTTATTTATCGGGGCGCCTGGGTGGTGCAGTCACTTAAGGGTCCGACTCTTGGCTTCAGCTCAGGTCCTGATCTCAGGGGCGTGAGGCGGAGCCCCATGTCCAGCTCCACGCTCAGCATGAAATCCGCTAAAGTCTCTCTCTCCCTCTGCCCCTCCCTGCTGTGTGCGCGCACTCGCTATAAAATCAATCAATCTTTAAAAAAGAGAGACATTTATTTATTTATTTTAGAGGGGGCGGGGAGAAACTTCAGCAGATTTCATGCTGAGTGCGGAGCCAGACACGGGGCTCGATGTCATGCCCCTGAGGTCAGGAGCTGACCTGAAACCAAGAGTCAGATGCTTAACCGACTGCACCATCCATGCGCCCCTCCTCAGTCAACTCTCGAGGACTTACTTGGCCCCGAGGGCCCCTGGAGAGCCAGCCAGCCACTGCTGCTCTCAGTTTCCCCACGCTGGGATGGAAAAATGAAATGCAGCCGCCTGGAGCCACTGGGTTCTAGAGGCCGCACAGCCTCGCAGGCAGAGCTTGGGCTCTGGGTCCTCCTGGCTCAGAAACCTTGGGTGGTCAGTCAGCCGGGCAACAATGAGATCCCAGATGCAGCACTAACCAGCTGGGTGAGTGAGCTCAGACAGCAGCTGCTTCCTCTCGGGGTTCAGACTGCGCCCATGTGGGGGCTGGACTCCAGCTGCTGGCCCGTGAGTCACAGCCAGCCCTTTGATACCTCTGTTGGTCTTCACAACATGTTAGGGCAATTTGAATGAACAATTTTAAAATACGGGTTTCCAGGGGCACCTAGGTGGCTCAGTCGGTTAAGCATCCGACTCTTTTTCTTAGCTCAGGCTTGAGCTCAGGGTTGTGAGTTCAAGCCCTGGTACTGGGCTGGACTCCACACATGTAGAGCCTACTTAAAAAAAAAAAAAAATATATATATATATATATATATATATATATGTGGATTTCCACTTCTGGAACAATCATACGTTGGGGCAAGATAGAATTGTCCTCCTGCCCTGGAGACACAAGATGTGTGCACAGGCCCTACCCCAGACCCTTCTTTCCTCTCTGACCTCTCTGAATGGCCTGCTATCCAAGACTCAGGTTCCTAGGTGCTGGTCCTTAGTGGTGAGCTGGCCCAGGAATGCGATGGAAAGCGTGGTGATGGGCAGCTCAGTGACACTGCCTGAGGCCTCGGGCTTCTACCTGACCCTGGGCGGGGCCGGGCAGCCACACTGTCCAACACGCAGTGTCACGATCTACCTGTGCTAGATCCTTTCTGCTTTCTGCTCCTTTCTGCTTTCCAGTCAAGCTGAGAGACTTCGAGTCGGCCGTGAGCAACTTTGAGAAGGCCCTGGAGAGAGCGAAGCTGGTCCACAACAACGAGGCGCAGCAGGCCATCATCAGTGTGAGCTGCCCACCCCCTGGGCCCTGGCTGCGGGGAGGGCGTGGGTGGGTCCTCAGCCTCAGTCAGCCAGAGCCCGGGGATTTATTACCCACCAAATGCAGGCCGCATTCTAGGTGGGGTAGTGGCTTTCAAATGCTCGCTGGTGCTCTCAGTTTATAGAGCAATCCAATATACCTATTTTTATTTGAAATAAACAATAGAAACGAAAGTTTAACAAAGCATATTTACCTTTACTATGTAGGCTATTTCTTATTATATTTTCCTTTTTCCTTTTGCTAAAGTTTCCATTTCCTTTTGTTTAATGCTGGTTGAAACTTCGACTGATTTTAGGGCTTGCCTTTTGGAAAATGCTGCTTCCTCCAGGAGACAACAAGAAATACAGTGTGACTGCCTCACTCACATGCCTTCAGCCAGGCAGCCCGCCACATGCCTCCAGTTAGACTCAAATGAATTAAAAGTAAATCAAATTTAAAATTCAGTTTCTCAGTCACACAGCCACATTTCAAGTGCTCAAAAGCCGCATGTGGCTTGTGGGTTCCAGAGTCTAGAGGATTCTCATGGTGGCAGAAATTTCTGTTGGATAGTGCGGGTGTAGACCATAAGGGTCAGGAGGCAGAGACCAGAGGTGAAGCCAGAAGGGGCCTGCAGGTGCATCAGACTTGCCACTGCTCCCAGAGCTGCTCCAGGCAGATGTCCACCTTCAGTAGGGTCAGTGCACTGACCTCAAAGATGCACAGGCAGTTTGCATGAGTCCCCTGGCCTCCCCACCCCCCACCACTCCCCCTAGGCTGCCCCATGTTGAAATTCCAGAGCTTCCTACCAGCATGTGGCTGGACCCCAGTAAGCATCTACTGGCATGAATTAATCAGGGCCCTTGTCCTTGGGGAGCTTGCCCCTGTGGTTAAGAGAGGCCAGACATGATAATGAGGGGGCACCACGAGGGGCATGGCCTCGAGGACCAGACTAAAGGTTCAGCAGGTACTCGGGAAAGGGAGCAGGGACCCTGGGAAGTGGCAGCCGAGGATGCTGTGGTTGGAGGTGGGCCCCCCGCTGGGCTTCGAAGGACCACAGAAGGGTTTGGCCAGGCTGAGAAGAGGCAAGAGCACTGAAGGCACTGGAGGCCATGGGCACTGAGAGGTCTGTGGGAAGCAGAAAAGAACCCCTGGGCCTGGATGCTAGGGGCTGGCTCACGATGGCAGAGGAGTAGGGCCAAAGGACCCTAGACGGTAGGTAGACCAGCTGGGACTTGAAGGGCTGGGAATAGCAGAGGGGCGACCTGATCTACTCGGATTTTTAGGGTGTGAGCTCACGGTTTGTGAGGACACTGGTGAGGCCACCCCTTTCCTGTAATGGTGGGGAAGTCGCCCCCGAGAGATTCCACCGTGTGGCAGTCTGTGCTCTCCCGTCCCCCGTCTCAGGGCAGCTTAGGCCTGCCACACTGCTGTTTTCTTCCTCTGTAGAGGGGGTTAGCTCCCCAAACGTGCACCTTGCCCTCCAAAGGAAGAGCGCTCCTTCCCTGAAGCCCTGTTGCTGCCCCTCCACTTGCACGCACTGTCTCTCGCCCTTAATGCCCTTCTGCAGGGTCACTCTGCAGCCGGAGAGGGACAGCTCCACAGTTCAACCCAGTAAATAGTTGCTGGCCACGGGCTGGCTCTGAGCTGCCCAGTCCAAAGGGGACAGCTGTGGTCCTGGCCCGCAGGAAGCTTGCTGTCAGCGGGAAGGTTAAAACAAAAACCCTTTGTTCCTGACCAGGGCGACAGGGACGAGGGGACCCAAGGTGAGAGCGCCCCACTGGATGAGGCAGGGCTGGGTTTTCCCATCAATGGGGTCTGGGGTCGCCTTGAAGGCTGGGCAGGGTTTTGAAAATGAGAGGCAGGGGCGCCTGGGTGGCTCAGTCGTTAATCGGCTGCCTTCAGCTCAGGTCAGGGTCCCAGGGTCCTGGGATCGAGCCCCGCATCGGGCTCCCTGCTCGGCGGGAAGCCTGCTTCTCCCTCTCTCACTCCCCCTGCTTGTGTTCCCTCTCTCGCTGTCTCTCTCTGTCAAATAAATAAATAAAATCTTAAAAAAAAAAAAAATGAGAGGCAAAGAGAAAAGGCCCCACGGCCTTGGTGACCCCTTGTGAGACCAGGTCCCTGCCACCTCACCCTCCCGGACCAGCAGCTCTGGGCAGGAAGATCAACACTCCACAAGCATGTCCAGGCCCCTTCGTCTCTCTGTGGATGGTTCCTGAGTGCCTACTGCGGCTCTGCCTGGAACTACATACGCACAGGCTGAGCCCCAGGCTGCCAGGGAACCTGTAGACACCCCGGGAGCCCCTCTCAAGATTGGCCAGCACCCCAGTCCCACCAGGCAGTGTGCTTCCAAGTCCCCTCCATGGCTTGCTGCCTTGCTGAGTGATTAGGGGCTTCACTGTCTCTACATTGGCTGGAGCCAAAAGAAACTTCTGGTAAAGAGGTCGAAATGAGCAGACAAGAGACAACTCTGAAATACATACCGAAGCCCGAGGGAGCTGAAGTCCGAGTTACCTGCAGTTGTGTATCTCCTCCCACTTAGTGTGGCTAATTCCAGGTCCACAAGTCTAAATTAACCCCGGGCAGGAGTCTGTGCAGAAGACCAGGGAAAATGGAGGGCAGCAAGGCTGGTGCAGAGTCCTGCCTTCTGGAGTTGGGGCTCAGGTGATGAAAGGGAAGGTGTGGGTGCCAACAGGGGCTAAGAGAGGTCACCAACTTCTCTCCACCCACAGGCCTTGGATGATGCCAACAAGGGCATCATCGAAGAGCTGAAGAAAACAGACTACAGGGAGACGCTGAGAGAAAAGAAAGAGAGAGGTGAGTGCCAGGAGGTAGCGCCAGGGTCCCTGTCCACGCTCTCCAGCAGCTCTTCCAGTCCCGGGGTTGGGTTCCCTGGGGCAGGAGAAGGAGGTCCAGCCCGTGGCCACTGCCCTGAGAGCCCGCTCCTGTATTTCTCCATCTCCAGGTATTAGTTAAGCACTCGTCATGCGCTGCGAAAGTGTGGGATTTGGGGGAGACAGAGGTTCGGCCCCTGCCCCGGAAGAGCCCACAGCCCAGGGGCAAAGCCAGGAGATTTGAGCTGTCAGCAAAGGGGCTCCTGCGTGTGCGCGGGAAGCAGCAGGAGCGAAGACACGGGGGCCGGGGGGGGGCGGGGCGCGCCGGATGACAGTTCTACTCAGCTTCTGCCTGCCCCGCTGTGGTCTATCACCCCGGCAGCGTGGCGGTGACCCCTCCGGGCACCCAGGCACAGGGGGGGAGATCAGGTGTGAGGTTTCTGGGTGCCCCAGCAGCCAGATGACAGCCCTTTATTATGCAGCGCCCGCCATGTGGTGGCTGGGTCTCCTCAGGAAGGGCATCTGCCTCTGCTCCCACAGGCCCTTAGAGCTGCTCTCGGGACCCACCGGGGCAACAGAAGCTCCTAGCGGCCTCCCATCCCCTTGGCAGCCTACATGCGGCAGCTGCCGGGCTCTTCACCCCCGGACCGGCAGGCGGCAGCATTGCCCAGGTCTTCGCGGCCACGCAGCGGCCTCTTCCCTGCTAGGAACCTAGCCCCGCCCCCCCCCCGCCCCCGGGCAGGCATCTTAGAGACCTGGGGCTTCCAGGAAGAGAGTATGGGGGAGACTCAGGAGGGCACTGTGACTTTTCTCTGTAAGCTCATAAAAACATGGAGCAAGGGTCCTTTTGATCATAAAAATAGCTCTCCAGCTGAACTCCCTGCTAACAGTCTGCTCATATTTTGATAGGGAACCTCCCAGTAAATGATGAATGTGCTTCCCAGGGACAAAGAATAACGGAGAATGAGGATGCTGGAGAAAAGAACCCCTGTCGTTTCCCAGCACCTGTGTTATTTCTCATAGGGAAAGAGAATGTGCTCTGAGAGCAGACCGTCCTGGGTTCAAATTCTGGCCCTGCCACTTATTTACTGGCAGCGTGACAACTGGCTGTGATTTCTCCGTCATCAGTCTCAGGTCCTTTGACGACGAACTCCGATCACTGACACTATGCCGTGAATTCCATGACAACCGCGCGACATCACCTCTGCAGCCCGCCGGGTGCCTGGAACAGGGCTGGTGCTCAGGAAACAATGACCCGCTGTCTCTCAGAAGCGCAGGCCCCAGGGGTTGAGGTGCCCCCGGGCCCAGAGATGGCCAAACTTTTACTTTTCTTCCCTCCTTTCTCTTGTTTTTCAGAAGAGGCCACTGAATTAGAAACCTTGAGAGCAGCGGTGGCAGGGAAGGAGAAGGAAAGCGCGAGAAGAGCGAGAGACGAGCCCGAGAAGGTGATGAAGCACTGGGAGCGAGAGCTAGCTGACAGTGAGAAAGAGACGGAAGACGAGTTGTCTCAGGAAACTCTGAGGGTCGCAGCGAGTGGACATGAAGAAAACAGGCAGAGAGAAGCAGGGGAAGCCAGCTCCTTCAGAACAGGGCTGGGAGCCACAGGGCAAGACTCAGGAGATGTTGCCAAGGGAGTGTCCAGAGACCTGGGCACAGGAAGCGAGGGAGAGGAGAACGGGAAACCGTTAGAAGTGGGCAGAATGGAATCAAGAGAAATTTACAGGAGGCCTTCAGAGCTGGACCAGAAACCCTTAGGAGAATTAAGCAGAAGGAAATCGCAAGGACTGGGGAGTCAAGTTTCAGAAGACAACAGAAGAGAGTCAGAAGAAATAGGGAAAACAGAACTGGGAGAAACAGCAGAAGTGACAAAGGCAGAAAATGGTGAAAACGTGGAAGAAGGTGAAAAAGAAGATGAATAAAGCAGCAGGCATCAGGACTAGGGACCTTGGGGATCTTATTCAACTGGACTTGAAATTTCAGGCTGAGATTTTTCTTTCATAGGAGAACAGGTGGACTGGGCTCCTCCACAGGTCGCCTCTGCCTCTTTCTGTTACTGTTTTCCTTTCAATAGATATCTCTCACTCTTACAAACCCCGAGTCTGTCATTTTGCCTCCCTGTTCACCCACAAGAGCCTTAGAGAATGAGGACCCGGCTCGGGGTACCCCTCTCCAAGCAGAACGCTGACCTTACCCTGGCCAGGTGACAAACACAGTCTCCAAGCAAGGCCTGATCCCGGAGTGTGATCAAGGTGGGAAATGTGCTCCTCTCCCCTGGGCCTGTCCAGGGACCTCATGGAAGAAATGATAGGGGTGCTAAGCAGAAAGCATTTCAGGATGGTAAGGAAACAGGTGAGCTCCAAGGGACCAGGCTAGCTTAAAGGGGAAGAAAAGGAAAGGCCTGGGAGTAGAGGTACGTCTGGGCAGCCACTGGACGTGGGTTCATCTTGCTCAGTGCCTGCTATGGTCACAGCACTGTGGGAGGCTTGACGGGAGAAGTGATGATGGGTCACGCCGAGGCCTGGCAGGCACGATGAAGTGAACGCTGGCATTGATAGGGGCATTGTGCTCGAGGAGCCCAGAGGAAGAGAGTTCCTGCCCGAGAACAGGGAGCAGTCCCCAGGAGGAGGGGCGGCTGGACTCCACCTGCGCCACCTGCAGGCGGTACAGTCAAGTAAATCAGGCTCCGGGAGCTGGTTTCCTCCTCCGTAGAACGGGTATCTGCCTCCGGGGTTGGCGTCAGGCTTCTATTGAGTGCTCAGCACAGCACTTGGTACACGGGAAGCTCTCCGAAATCCGACCGAGTTTTCGGTGCCTTCGCAGAGGAGGTGGCAGCTGAACAGCTGCCTCAGAGGATGAGCTAGGATTTCACTACATTATTCATCTGTCCCCCGGCTATGGCCATCCTGGTTCCATCTCTTGGATGGTCCTTGGAAAGGTTAGGGCTGAAGTTAGGCCAGCTAGGACCAGACCCCGACTAATGTGAGGCAAGTGAGGCATTTCAGATGCAGTATTTCACAGGGCGCCATGAAACTCACTAAGCAACATACAGTATGTTAATGTAATGTTGTAAAACACACACACACACACACTGCAAAACCCCCACGAGAGATACAATATCACAATTTTAAATAAAGACCGGATCTGACCTTGCATTTGCATGACCCTGCCTCCCTGGCCTCAACCCAACCCCGGCCCGGGGCCGGGGAAAGGTGACTGCCTCCCTCTGTCTAGAGCTCCTCGGGACCTCTCCAGGGTACACGTGCGCCGCAGCCGGCCGGGGCGGGACGCGCGACCACTTCCTCTCAGCGCAGAAATAGTTTCGGGTTTCGATTCGCCGCGCCTGCGCGGAGAGGCCCCGCCCCGCCCCCGGCCCGCCGCGCGCGCTCCGCCCCCGGGCTATCTAAGGCGGCCCGGCGCGGGGGCGCGCGACCGCTGGGCTCCGTGTCCCTCCGCGCAGGCGGGCGGCCTCGGAGAGCTAGTGCCTGCCAAGGCGGCCACGGCGGCGCCCCCCTCATCATGGTGAGCGGGCGCGGACAGGCGGGAGGGGCGGGGGCGGGCCGGGGAAGCACCCTGACGGAAAACGGGAGTTCGGGGGGATTTTCGGGAGGACGTGGCATGCAAATGAGGACCCGAGGTTCCGGAGTTGAGCTCCGGCTTGCTGGGCCGTGGGGTGCAGCCTGAGGTAGGGGAGACCCGGGCCGACTTGGGGAGCGGGCACGGCCGCTGGAGGAGCGTGGGGTCGGGCGTCGCGGGAGCTCGTGGCGCCGAGTGTGGGCCGGGGCTAGTGCGGGGCGGGCATTCGTCGCCTGCTCCCGCCCGAGGGCCTTCTCTGAGAAGAGCCCGTGGCCGCGCCGCGCTCGGGGTGCCGCCGGGAGGTGGAGCCGCTTCAGAGGAGACCGCTTACAGCAACAGGTGGTGTCACTTGTGGCTTTTAGCAGGCGGGAAGACAAGTGGCTCAGAGAGGTGCTGCTGACGCACAGCAAAGTGGGGGGCAGAGCTGGACCCCGGACGCAGGTGCCCTGGGACGCCCAGTCCTGGGGCAGGCACAAAGACCACGACTTTGTGGGGGGCCGAGGGGCAGAGGAGGAGGCGGCAGGCGTGGTGAATGAGGCCCTTTGTCCAGCGCTCTCCTGCCCTGCCCCCCACCAGCCCTTCTGTGGGACCATTGTCCCCCCCCCATCCCAGACAAGAGAGTATTATCTGTTGCCGCCCTTGTGGGGGGAGGGAAGGCAGTCTTTGGGTAACCCTTCTCCACCCCCAGCCTCCTCTGCGCACCCAGAGCCCGGGCAGCTGTGGCTTCGCCCAGACAGAGCAGCCCCACCTCCAAAGAGGTCATCCTTAATAGGTGCCAGGAATATAAAGTTAGGGTCCGCGCCAGAAGCACGGGCCTGCGCTTCCAGCACTCTTCCCCGTTGAGAGGCGGCGGCAGTGGGGGATCCTTGAAGCCTCAGCTCTGACCAGCGGGAATTAGGAGCTTAGGAACGCTCAGACAAGCTCTCCCGTCCCTCCTCCTCCACCACAAGCTGGCGGCTACCCGGGCCGGAGGAGGAGAAGGTCCAGTCCTGGGCTTGGGAAGGTGCCCCCTGCACCGGGGGTGCTTATAACTCAGGGCTGGGAGGCCCGAGGAGAACGAGGCCAGAGTCAAGGGGGCGAGGCCGAGGGGGGCGGGGAGGCGGGGTGGCCTCGAGTGAGCCGGCTGACATCTGCTCTTGCCCTCCTCACAGAACAGAAGCTTCTCCCGGAAGAGCCACACGTTCCTGCCCAAGATCTTCTTCCGCAAAATGTCCTCCTCAGGGGCCAAGGACAAGCCTGAGCTGCAGTTTCCTTTCCTGCAGGATGAGGAGACCGTGGCCACGCTGCAGGAGTGCAAGACCCTCTTCATCCTGCGCGGCCTGCCCGGGAGCGGCAAGTCCACCCTGGCGCGGGTCATCGTGGACAGGTACCGGGACGGCACCAAGATGGTGTCTGCCGACGCCTACAAGATTACCCCCGGGGGCCGAGGAGACTTCTCTGAGGAGTACAAGCGGCTGGACGAGGACCTGGCCGCCTACTGCCGCCGGGACGTGCGCGTCCTGGTGCTGGATGACACCAACCACGAGCGGGAGCGGCTGGAGCAGCTCTTTGAATTGGCCGACCAGTACCAGTACCAGGTGGTGCTGGTGGAGCCCAAGACGGCGTGGCGGCTGGACTGCGCCCAGCTCAAGGAGAAGAACCAGTGGCAGCTGTCGGCCGACGAGCTCAAGAAGCTGAAGCCGGCGCTGGAGAAGGACTTCCTGCCGCTCTACTTCGGCTGGTTCCTGACCAAGAAGAGTTCCGAGAGCCTCCGCAAAGCCGGCCAGGCCTTCCTGGAGGAGCTGAGCAACCACAAGGCCTTCAAGAAGGAGCTGCGACACTGTAGGTGGCGGGCGGGGGCCTTCCCAAGCCTCCCTTGCTGGGCACGCGGTGCCGAGCACCTGGGACTGCCGCTGCCCTCCCAGCACGGGAGCCGAGGGGGGCTGCAGGGGTGGAGGCGGAGGCGCAGTAGGTCATGGGGAGAGCTGCTTCCCAAGGACCCCTCTCTCACTGCGCCCCCTCCTCCCTGCCCCCCTGGATGGAGACCACTGGCCCTGTCCTTGGATGGGGGGAGGGACAAATTCCCGCACCACGGGAAGCATGTCCACATTTCCTACCACCTGAGAGGGAGAACCTGCTTCGATGTTTCTACCTTGTGTTTAGCTGTAGAGCCATCTTTCTGAAGTAAAATATTCCATGGAGGGGCGCCCGGCTGGCTCAGTGGGTAGAGCCTGTGACTCTTGATTTCAGGGTCATGAATCCCAGCCCCATGTTGGGTGGAGAGATCACTAAAGAAGGAAGGGGTGCCTGGGTGGCTCAGTTAAGCGACCGACTCTTGATTTTGGCTCAGGTCATGATCTCAGGATCATGAGATCGAGCCCGCATTGGAGCCTGCTTAAGATTCTTTCTCTCCTCTCCCTCTGCCCCCCTCCCCCCCGCTAAATAAATAAAAAATAAAAAAACCCTAAAAAAAAAAATGCCATGGAATCCTAAGGTGCAAAAAAATCACAACTAAGACTACTGTGACTTGACTGGGTATGGTTCCCAGGTCTCGGGCTGCCCAGTGCACCTCCTGTGGCTTCCGGCAGCTCCAGAGAACAGCCACACACCCAGTGCAGGTCCCTCCTCTTGTGGAGGGGAAAACGCCCAGGAGGGATGTGGGATTTGCCCAGAGCCGTGGTGAGAGCCCTGGACTCTGTCAGCCCTAGCAGGGGCCTCCCCATATTGGGTGGGACCTCTCCTGGCAAGGGCTGTTTGCTCCGGGGAAGGGTAGGTTTGGGATAAGGGAGGCCTTCATTTTCCTACAGTGGCCTCTTAGGGATCTGTCACCCACTACTCTGTCCCATTAACCCATTTCTGGTGTCCCCAAATTTTAGATTATCTTCCTCGTTGAAATATCCCCACCCATATTTCTGTGTTGTCTGGGGGGCAAAATCTGTGCCTGGATATGTGCTCAGAGGTCTCTTCTTGGCTCCTAAAGCTGGAACGCTGGGAAACCAGGGAACGGTGACGCCCGCAGTGATGTTGTCCAGGTGTGAGCCCTGCACCTGGAATTGCTTAGCAGAAAAGCACCCTACAGGCAGGGCTCCTGGTTAGAGCTGCTCTGCCTCTTGAAGTTGCTTTTACCACTAAAAACTGCCGCCCTTTCCTGCCTAGGACACGGGCCTTTTCTCAGAGCACAGCTCTCCCTCCCCTGTGGAGGGTGACGGACATCCTTGCAGGGACTCAACTCTGGGAGTAAATACAACAGATCTAGTGACTCTGAAACGAGCCCTAAGGCCTGGAGTCTGGAAATTGGAAATCACAGATACCCCAGGTCTCACCATAGGATATCATTATATCCCAAGACCCTTCCTACTCTAGGCCCTTTATAGGCTCTTATCCACCAAACAGGCCTGCGCGGTACATGTTACAGTGACCAGGTAACTTCTGGTCCGGGTAGGCCCGAGTGAAAGGGGGCACGGCTAAGAGTTCCCCGGGTGGTCCTGGGAAAATGGGTGTATGGTCACCCTAATGGTACGTGATTGACAGAAAAGGGTCAATCAGGTGCCCCAGGCCAAAGGACTTATGCTCTGACTCCTTCCATCATACGACAGTTCCAACACTCTTGCTTTTCTACCCCGTTTTTCATGACCTGCTTCCCTCTTCC